CGCAGCCTGCCGCTTCCTAGGGCTTTGGCAGATGGCGAGCGTGAAGAATCACGTGAGGCGGCTGCTTCTCGGGCACGGGACTCCTGTGCTCAGCGGCCATCCTCCACACTGAGCACTCGGGCCTGCGTCAGAAATTCCCTGGTACTCGTGGCGGAGGTCGGGGTCAGAGGCAGTGGGCTGATGCGCAACACAGCCGGTTGCACCTCCAGACCGGGCTGTGAAAGCTCCAGGAGCAGCTGAACTCTGGCTGGGTGAACGCTCCCCAGCGTTGAGAGCAGCCTCGGGTTGTCGCAGCGTGAAGTACGGTGGAAATTCATGCTGCTTCAGTTACCCACAGACTCTGGAGAGCTGCTCCAAGTCCAGTCTTACTTCCCCTTGAAAGGCACGGAGGCCGTCCTACGCCCGGTGGGCTGCAGCTGCAGGCGTGCTAAGCGCCCAAGGAGGGGCTGGGGACAGCAGCCGGGAAGGACGGGAGGGTTTCCTCTGTGGAAGAGGGGACGGGGACACGTGCATCCGCTCCAAGCGCTCCCTGAGCTGTCTCCACTGCATCCCAGAGCGGAGAAGAGCAGCTCTGGAGCCCGGGTCTCTGCTGATCCGGGCGAGCGGGAGCCACCTCTGCTCCCAGCTTCACCCTCGGTCCCAACTGCGGATCCTCATCGCGTTTTCAGCTTTTCCTTGGATGGGGATGTTTGAGGTTGGGGAGGAAAAGGGAAATCCTGTCCTCAGAGGCGCGCAGGAACAAACAGCATCTCCATCCGTGTGTCACCGCGCTCGGGCTCCCTGAGTGCAGCTATGCAAATGCGTGACGGCTTTCTAAGCCAGGCCGATAAGCTTTGCATTTCCAGCCCCCCATCCCCACCGTGACTGCAGGCTGTACTTTACCGTTTATGGTCTCAATTTATATTTTTCTTCTGAATAATCTTCAGTGTGAAGTTGTAAGCTCAGACCATGCATTGCACTTCTAATTTTGACAGAGGCGGTTATTTATCCATTACCAGTGCTTTTTTTTTATTTTTTCCCAGGATTTAGATTCCTGGGTGTCAATGTGTCATCATGAATTTAGACCTGGTGCAAATCAGAAAACCCACCAGTTTAGCCCTGTAGCAGGCCTGGGAACATGTACTGGCATGCCAAACGACAGGCTAGGAGCTGCAGCGATCGCTGTCTAACCCAGACGGTAACTGCCTCGCTTCCTTCTCTGCAAAAACCAGGCGGTGAGGTCAGTGCGACGAGCAGAGGGGTGAAGGAGCTGAGGACAGCGAGGAGCCCTAAACCGCAGCTCTGGGGTTAGGGTACCTGTGAAGTTCAGAGGCAGTATGAGCTGCACATTTGGTTCTCTCTACTTTTTCTTATTCCAAGAGGAGTTCAGCAGACAAAGAACAGGGGGAATTAGAGCCTCTGGATATAGGAAAACAGGGAGCTCACCTCTTGTAGAAGCTGTGGAAAGCAAGTCACAGGTGCAGGAGCCGTGGCAGCTCGGTATCGTTGTGGCTCGGTTTGTTGCCGCGCTCTGAACCGTCCTGGCTGCAGGTCGGGGCAGCAGCGGAGCCCTGCGGCTCAGCTCCCCGACACGTTCTCTGGGTGAAGCCAGGGAATCGTAGATCCCTCCGTGCTGTGATTTCTGCTTTCATTCCAGCGTGAAGCCGCTGTGGATGCTGCTGTTGAGCAAGAGCTGGTGCAGCCCTTGATGCTTGCTGAGCTGGTCGAAGAATAGGTGGCAGATTTCCAGCAAGGGTGAGGAAGTGGTCAAGTGGGGTAGGGAGTTGGGTGATTTTCCTCTTCTGGCATATGACTGCAAGCACATTCCTGAGAAGAGTCAGGGAGAGTGGAGAAACCTAGCCAAGGGACTTGCCATGGCCAGGAATCAAGGAGCAAGTGTGCCGGGAAGGGAGGAGTCAGGTCGCTGGCAGGTAAAAGCAGGCAGCATTGCTCCTCCGAGCACTTGGCTCAGCTGAAGGGGCTTCCTAAGGCTGGCCTGGGGCGTGTGTGGGCGAGCAAGGGGCTGCAGGCTCCAGCATCACTGCTGGCTGCTCATAACCTGGTTCACTCGCTGTCTCTCGCTGCTCCAGGTAAAGCCAGTACTCCCAAGCGTCTCTCTGCAATGGCCTCAGGGAACGACGGGGACCCACCAAGGGCCCACGGACGCCGGGGAAGCAACGGGCGCAGGCTGTCACAGGAGCTCAACTCAGGTAAAAAAACATTGCTGTGCTACGCAGAGGAGGAAGCATTTTCAACCCTTTTTTTCTTTTTTTTTCTTCCTGGTGTGTTTCTTTGGGGTTTTTTCATACCTCCAGGGCGCTTTGCAGGAATGGGATGATGAATCGGCTCCGTAAAGCAAGGCTGAATTGAACTGGGAGAGCACACGCTCGATGCTTTCAGGAGATGGTTGGCGTTGGGTTAGGGCGGTGGGCAGCAAGGGTGGCTGGAAAGGCACGGAGAAAACAGCGTGCCGGGAGCTGCCGGACTGGGGAACGCTGGCAGCTCTGTGCTGGCACAGTGGGGTGCCAGACGGCACCGGGGCTGGGGCGTGGGGTGATCGCCCCGGCTGGCTGCGAGACATACGGCTGGTGCCTGGTGTCATTTACTTCCCCGAGCACGAGAGAGCAAAAAGTGCTTGATGTTTAAAACACACAGAAAAACACGCCTTGCTGAGCAGCGCCGGAGCTCAGTTGGTTGGTTTCAGTCTTCCTGCGTCGGCTGCTGGATGGAGTTGGGTCTCCGGCATGCCTTGGCAGAGCAGCAATGAAAAGTGAGGGCTCACCAATGTTGAGGAGCGGTCCCATCCATTTCTCATGGGTGCCGAGCCCAGCAGACTGTGTAATTGTGTTTCACACTAATGGGTGAAACTGGGAACGGGGCCGAAAGGAACCCAGGGAAAACCTCAGCTCCCGTTTCATCCCGAGATGATAAAATACCACTGCACAGAAAGCTGTTAAACACGGGTGACTTCTTAACCTGTTTTGCAGGTGGACTTATAAATAAGGCTGAGTCAGTGCAGCTCTGTCAATAATGGAGATTAGAAGCTATAGCTAACTGTTTATGTGTTTGAGCTCAGATCCAGCTCAGAGCTGTTTTATTGGCCTGATAATGTTATTTATACTCTGCTATTGCCTGGACTCCTCGCCATCTCGGAGTACCATTTGTGCTAGATCCTGCATGAATAGTTGGAAGAAAAAAAACACCCTGTCCTTCCTTTACCAAAGTCTACAAGGTATGAAAATAAATAAATAAGAGCAGTTGTTTACGTATGCTGATTTCCTGTTGAGGCCAATGAGATGATGATGTGAAAACCAGTGAGAGGATCAGGCCCTGAACTCTAACCACACTGGTTTACAGTCACACTTCCTGTACGCTTGCACTTACTGGCAGTGCTGGCATCCCTCGGCTTCCCAAAACTCAGGGGGTCCCTCCGGAATTCGGAGGCGAGATCTCTGCGCTCCTCTCAGGGAGGAGCCTCATGGACTCAGGCGGAAGCAGAAATGTGCAGCTTCCACGAACACGTGCTATGGGATCGCGGGGTGGAGGAAGGCTTTCATCAACAGGTATTAAGCCTGGTGTTCATTTCGGGCTTGCTTGCTCTCTTTGTTTATCTTTGGATGCGGTAGGGAGTGAAGAGATCTATCTGCTGCTCGAGGATTTGTCTGAGCATCGTTCCGAGCCCTTGTTCTGCCAGCCGTTGCTTCGGGCAGGGACAAGATGCTGCTGCTCCAGTCTAGGTTGGGGGGCAATTTGTACTGCTGGTGTTTTCAGGGCGTTCATTGTAGACAAAGGCAGGGGCTTCCTACTCCTGGCAGTATGTGATAAAAAGGAGGAGAGCCTTAGCTTGTGAATAGTCATGCAAGGGAAGCAAACATTGCAGAAGGAGGGGTGGGAGACCCAGCACCAACGGTGCTGAGCTGAGCTCAGGGAACGGGGCTCATACTTTGGAAAATTCACCTTGCCCTCCTTCGGTCCTCATCTGTAGCATGGGGGTGGCGGTGCCTCCCTGCTCAGACGCGCTGCCAGGGTCCGCACTCAGCTACAGGAGTGGTTCGGATAATTCCACCAGGGCTCAGATCCGTGGGACAAGCCACGGCCGCGGCTGTCCTCACACTGGCAGGGCCACGTGCAGCTCAGAGGGGCCAGTCCATGTGATGACAGCATTGCTTAGGTGGTCACACTTCGCTCCGGTGCGGACCGCGTTAGCTGGAGTCACAAAGCGCTTTGCTGAGCAAGGTGATGCATCACTGTATCCACTTATTGCTACGAGGGAGATGGAGAGCGCTCCGTTGGGAGTCTCTGCAAGGATGGCCGAGGCGTCAGGGTTGTGCGTGGAAAGCCCAGCCACCCTGACTCACCGCTGGCAGCGTCAGACTGGCAACTGCTCTCTGCCTCGGATTACCTGGGCTTTCTCATCTCTCTGGGTGTGTTTAATACTCGCGTAACGCACCTAGAGAGGCGCGAGGTTTGGCGCTTGGTGGTTTGTCTTAGCTCTGGACTTGACGTTGCGTGCGGAGCAAGTCACGAACTGATAAATAGTTGCTTACGGATGTTAGTCACGCATCTGTGAGCATCTCCATGTCTTCATTTCCAGGATCACCTGCAAAAGGAGTAGGAAAAATGTGAGCTGCCTGTTTAAGACTGGGTTCTCATACATTCTGTAGAGCAACCAAAACCGTGTAAGCATGCTCTTCTCTTGTCTGTTACCCATGCAGTTCCTATCTCCAGCACAGACAGAGAGTATTGGACTTCCTATTGAACTGCTTCGCCCATCAATACGTGGTTTCCATTTTTAAAAGGAAAAAAACAAGTCATCCTTCCAATGGCTGTGCTGGGAAATAGCTCTGCTCTGGAACTGCCTCATCACTCCTTTGTTCTGGCCTGCAAAGGATGCCCTGAGGAATCTTTTATGAAAAACCTGATGGGGCAGAGGGAGATGCATTGCCAGAGCTGAGACGCCTGCCCAGCCCGAGCATCGCGCTGAGCCCTGGGCCCAGCCTCCCTGCGCCGTTCAGTAGATCAGCAAATGTGGGACAGGTCTCAGCTCGGGCAGCAAAGTACCAGAGCAAAACCTCGCTGCAGCCCCCAGCCCCTGCTGCAGCCTGTAACTCTGGGCGTGATGGTGGGACACCACCGAGCAAAAAATTAAAGCAGATTTCTTGAGTCCAGCCCAGAATCTGGACCGGAGGATCTCCCTTATTGACAGATTAATTTCTGTCTTAAAACCAAGGGTATTTGCCCATTAGCTCTGCAGGGAGGCTGTCTGAGACTATCGCTCCTCTTTTGGGTGGGAAGGTACTTCTTCTAGAGAGCAGGATAAGGGGAAGGGCTTTGTGCTGTGCAGACACCTCTGGGGACGGCAGTTTCCCATTTACCTGCCTCACAGCTCTGCTCTCGGGTGCGAGCCGCGCAGGATTATGCCAGCATGGTGCAGTGTCAGGCTGATCAGCCTTTGATCCTGGACAACATCACTATCGGCAGGCGATAGCTTTCACGAGGTGCTGCCTTGCCCAGTGGAAGCTAACCCAAATCCAGTAACGCAAGCACTGCTCATCTCGTGCTTCAATTGCAGCAACCATGAGGTGGAGTCGAGCTTCCCCTCGAGGTAGAAATCTCCAGAGACTGTGCTTGGTTCCCTGGAGCTGTCTTCTCCCTTTGGAGCCAGTTGCTCTTCCCAGGCTGGCTATCTCCCTCTGCGCACGCAGATGCACCTCTCGTTGGAGTTACTACCTGCCTCCTGGGCTCGGGAGCGATGCTGCCAGGCTGCATCTGGCATTATTACAGTCTGCAGCAGGGCTGTTTCGTTGTAACAAGGTCTGATGGATAACTTTGGTGAGACCTGCCAGTTTTTACCGCAGCGCAGCGGCTCTCCGGATGTTGGGAGCAGTGAGAAATAAAGGATCTCGCACCGAAATGCAGATGTTGCCTGTTTGAGACTGGCAGAGGGGTCTGGTCAGCGTCCGCGGTGTGGATCCAGGCAAGAGGCGGCTGTTGGGGTAGGTCTGGTCTAGGTTCTGGGAGCGCGCTGGGGACCGAGGACAGCAGGGTTGCTGCTCCGTGGAGCAGAAGCGGAGCACGTCCTCCCTTGCAGTGCGGGGGCTCAGAGCAGCTCGTCAGCTCCGTAACGCGGCCCCGATGATCCCACATGGAGCCCTGCGATCCCCGAGGAGCTCCAAACCACTCTCCGCCTCTCCACTGGTGGTACTGGGATTCCACAAGGCAAATCTTGATCCAGATCCTCTTCCTTTGAGTGGGAGAGACCCAGAGATGGTCCCCGTGGGTGCGGTGGGTTAGCGCTTGGGGGACAAAGATATGCGTTCGCCTGTGCTTGTGTTACTAAAAATAGTGCCTGGGGTAATTAAAACCAGGGATGTTTTTTTGGTAGGCGTATTTCCTCTTTTGTTCTGGCAGCGTGTTTACCCTTCTCTCGCTGAAACTGTGAGTCAGTCGGTTTCGTTTTCTGGCTCTCGGTGGAGCGGTCGCTGGCGCCGCTGGCTCCTCCGTGAGGTGGGATTTGTTTGCCGCCAAATAAACCCTCTCCTGCAAAACAAAAAAACAGTCCCCTGAAAACGTAGCGACCAAGGCTTGTCATTTCCCTTCACCTTTATTTACCCAACCTGAACTCTGTGTAACCTGCGTCTCCGCACAACGGGTCCTCTCCCTTCCCCGCACTCCATCCGGGGCTGGGCCCGGCTCCCCACCGCCGCGCGTGGGCCGTGTGGCTGTGGCCAGCTGGAAAAACCACGACGAGCGGTGCAGCACGCTTCGGAGATGTGGGTATGGGGTTTTATGGGGCAGTGTTGCTGGGACAGCTGGGTCCACCAGGCCACATCCACACATCCCAGCTCTGGGACACTACTGGGGCAGGAGCATCTCTGCATTGGAAATGGCATTTCCAGTGGCTGGAGAACTGCATGGCCAGTCTGGCGGGTGGTTATACTGGGATGCTGGGAAGGGGTTTTAGCTGGGCTGGCTGCAGTGAGCTGCACTGCTGTGAGACAGCGCTGCGGGTGCAGATGTGCCGATCTGCTGCGCGTCACCAGACGCCTGGCCGGATGACCACCTAAAGCCAGGGTCCCGCGCTTTGACGTTCCCCCAGGTAGCTCATGTACCCGGGCTTTGCACCTTGTTTAGTATCTGTGAATCTCTACTCCGAATGGTGATACCCTGTCAAAGGAGCAGGGCTCTGATCTGTCCATACCATTTCTGTCCCCTACAAATTTTGCATCTTGGAAAAAAAACTGGGAAGAACCGCGTTACCGGGACCTTAGAGCCGGCTGCCGCCGAGCCCTGCGGGGTGACTGAGCTGGACTGCTGGCTGTTTGGGGCTGTCGGGGAACCTGTGCTCTAGCCCAGATTGCTTCTTGAGCCAGCCGAAACCGAGCTCTAATCAAAGACACCCCGTGACAAACCAGGTACTTTCCCCAGGAGCAATGCAAGGCGGGCGATAAGGCATCGGTCGCCATGGTACCTCCAGGAGCGAAACGCCTTGCCGGGGGCTCCCTGCTCTGGAGAGGGCAGGTCTTGGCCACGTCCAGACCCTTGATCTACCTCGAGCAGCGTGGGCACAGGGTGTGGGTCTCGAGCTGAGCCGTTTGCAGACAGCCGCACGCTCGTTGGCACTGGTTTTTTCTGACTCGCTTCCTGCGCACGCAGATCCGAGTTGGTTTTCGCGCGCTGTCGGGGCCGGGTGACGTTACTGCACGGGTGCGTTCCCCCGCTGAACCCTGGATACCTGGCGTGCCGAGCCCTGCTTGCTTACGAGAGCAGGGGAAGGAAGCTGTGGCACCCAAACCCAGCCTCAGCTCAGCCCCCCCGCAGCCCCGGCTCACCCCCTGCCCGGCTGCAGCCCCCGCTCGCCGTGCCACGGGCTTATTGCTTCCACAGGTATTTGTTAGCCAGGCAGGGGATCTGGGTGTCTGCTCTCGCACGGTGGCAGCGGGTGTGCTGGAGCAGGCGTTCGGTTCAAACTTATCGCCTGGCTGTTTTATCTGCTTTCAAGCTCAGGATGGGGAGTCACCAGTCTGGGTGACGGTTGATGAGTTATTCAGAAGCTCTTCTCCTTTCTGCCCCTGCCAGCAGCCCATGCAGAAGCTGAAAACCCTGCCCTGGTGTTGCCGCTGCCGGGCGTATGCGAGACCAGCCATGTGGGATGGAATCGGCAAGGAATTATACAATAACCAATTTAACTTCTGCTCAGTGCATCATTGCTGATGTCAGGCAAAGGCACGATCGTTGGTGGCCTTGAAAAACAAGATTGTTTGCTGAGGGTTGGTGGGCAGCGCTAGGCTGAGCTTTGCCTCTGGTCTGGGTTTGGATCGGAGATTCCTGAACTCGTCTGCGCTGAGCAATGCCCTTATCGAGAGGTGAGAGGGAGCTGCCAAGCGCAAGCGCTCGAACATCTGGTTTGTGTTGCGACAGTCCTGTAGCTGTCGCTTGCCAAAAATGGATTCAAAAGGTGGGCCTGTGCCCCGAAGAGCAAAGACTGGCCTCTAAATTAGTTTTCTGAGAACTAATTTATGTTGCATTCTGTTTGTTGTACTGCAAAAGGCCAGTCTTAATACAAACAGCACAAATTTAGGCTGAAAATGAGGGAATGGTCTCTTTCCAACTTGGGAAAGGAGGGAGACGTGCTTCTCCCTTGACTTTTCTTCCTCTTGTCTCTCTCAGAAGACCGGGTGGTGAAGGAGACAGAGGAGGTGTTTCGGAGCTATGCCTTCTACCGCTACCAACAGGAGAGAGAGGAGAGCGGGGAGGAGGTGCCCATGGACCCAGAGATCGTGGAGATCCAGCAGGAGCTGGGCAGGTAAAACTCCAGCACCAACCGTACACACGTCCCTCAACCCCATTGCGAGCCAGGGTCTGTTACAGACCCACCCTCAGTCCTGCTGACCTGTCCCTAACGCCGTCTTCCCTCTGGGCAGCACCGGGAGCCTGGTGGGAAGGCGCCTGGCCATCATCGGCGATGACATTAACGAGCGGTACGACGCGGAGTTTCGCTGCATGCTGAAATCCTTGCAGCCCACCAAGGAGAACGCCTATGAGTACTTCACCAGAATAGCCTCCAGGTAAGGCCACCGGCTCCCTCGGCGTGGGCTGAACGCCTTCTCCTGGAGAAGACCAGGGAAGGAAAGGTCAGACGGGGTGCGATGCAGTCAGTTAAACCCTCGCACCCAACCCGGAGCAGCTGCCTCCCCGGCTCTGCCCCAGCACGCAGACCCTCTCCACTGACTTCACCCACTGTCCCTGGGTTGAGCTCCCAACGAGCTCCCCGTGACGGTTCCTGTGTTTTCTGCCTGTCTGCTCTTCCTGCTGCGCACTGTTTGGACAGTCTTCACCTGACAGTCACCTCACTGTCCTTGCACGAGCCGACTGGGGTCAGAAAGTCTGGGGGATGTGCCTGGGAAGCGTGGCCTGTGCGTCAGCAGCCAAGTCAATGTCCCAGCTCCCCATCAGGGGTACGACCAGCCCTGGACCAAGACAGAGCTGCTGCTGGTCCCACTGCCGCTTGCTGGGTAGCTGGGGAGTCCTGGTGAGTCAGGCTTTTGGAGGCACAAAGCAAACACAGCTGCAGGATGCGGGGGTGGGCAGGAGCTTGCTGTCCATGGCGTGGGCCACACAGAACAGGATCGGACTAACTCAGGATGGGGGACGCTCCACGGGCTCGCAGAACCTGCAGCCATCTCGTGCAGGCGATGCACGCCCAGCTCACCCGCTCCAAGCACAGCACCAGGGTGAAGGCCAACACCTGAACAACGTACTGCCCCGCTCGCCTGAGGCGCAGGCTTGGATCCAGGTGGCCGTCCAGGTGTTCAATCCT